ATTTTGCTTTTTTTTTTTTTTTTTTTTTTTTTTTTTATACTTGGCATAGAAAAATAGATTACAGTGAGTTCTGAGAAAAATGATCCTTTTCACTGCGTGTGATACAAAAAGCTTTTTTTCTCTACTTCGGCAAATAATATGCGAACAGCACGTGTGAAAGCGAAGTGTGATCTGTGACGACGATTTCAATTCGAAATATGAAATCTCTCTCGCTTTGTGCGAAATCTCGAATCTGACAGAGATACACGCGTGGGAACTTAAAAAAAAGTAAAGCACAATTTATATGGATTTGAAAACTTTTTTTTTCTTTATATATATATATATATGTTCTCAACGTGATATCTTCTACACTCTCTTTCTTACACATATGCGTACAACAGCACACAACAAATTAAGGAGTCTATTCGTGACACGCGAGAGAAATGAGAGACGTTATTGTTGAAAAAACGTGCTGTGCCAAGATGCAAAAAAGAAAAACTTATGTCCGTGATAATATTTTATAGTTTTAAAAGAATATTTAATATATTCCCGTCTGTGTATGTAAAAAAACTATTCTTTTTAAATATCTTTAAGTTTTTTCTCTCACATCGTTGTTTACCGTGTTAATCATAATTGAAACATAAATGATTAGCAATGTGACAATGTTTTTACAGAGTTGGATCTACAGCACATGGCCGCTGCTAGTAGCTGATTGAGTCAAACGAGTAGTGATTTCGTTGTAAACATTTCACTTAGCGCTTTTGTTTGAGATTAAGCGACGTTGTCATATCTCACAGTGAAAACTTTGTACTAGCAGTATCTTTTATCGATTAGTGCAAAGAAAAAAAAAACTGAAGTAGACGTTCTTCATTCTGTGACGCATACACATTCTTGGTATACAAAGTTCAGAACAGTAAGTTTTTTTTATTCAGATCGTAGCATTATTTAAAATATTACAATAATCACCACATGTATTGCTTCTCTTGTAACAACAACATATGTATAAAAAGTTTTTTAAATATATTTAAATATAATTTTTATATATTTATATATTCAATATTTCAAAATTGGTACAAACAAGTGACATAAAATTTTAATTGCAAATGTGTGACATTATCACAAAGAAACATAATGCCCAAATTTGATGTCATTTGTGGCATTTCTGAATGAATAGACTCCTTGAAACAAATTTCAAATATAAATCTTTTTTGCGCACAAGAAAATTATAACATACAACATACATACATTATACACACGTACATGCATACATACATACATACACAAAAATACACTTTTGTTTGCCGGGAAACGCATTGTGATGTCAGAAAATTGATGGTTTTTCAAAAAAGTAGGCATACTATTTTACATAGACGGTATAAGACGGAGATATAATGCTATTTACTATAGTATATTATTGAGAAAATTTGAAAATTCATTTTGTAACATATATATATATTACGTAATATATATATATATATATCATTTGAAATTATCTTGAATTTATTTATTTGTGCCGAAAACATAAAACAGCTTTGTTTTTTCTTATTTATTTTTATTTTTCCCCCTATATACGCGCGATTATAATTCTAAAAGAAGAAATTTTCCCTCCCAAGGAGATCTCTTCTGTGAAGCATCTCCTTTTCAAAGGTCAAACTCGATTTTGAATAATACTCAAAAAAAAAGTAAGTACCACCATACGAGTGTCGTGAACTTACGCAAATCAGCTCGTTCGCAAAAAAAATGTCGTGACTGGCCTTTTACTTATTAATTAGAGTTATATTGCTACAATACAGGCACGATGAATTGATTGACACAATCAAATATAATTACAAAAAAAGAAAGGACAGAACAATTGTTTTTTTTTGGTTTTTTTTTTTCAATAAGACAGTTGTCTTGCACCGTTTTTAGCTCTTCGCTAGCATCACGCACTAGTATCGTCACAACATAACTTTACTGTTTACAACACATACACTATGCAAAGTTGATCATGCCAATAATGAGTAACAAATTTTCGTCGGTCGCATGCTTGCGAATCGATATTCGTTACTGAGGAGATTGAGATCTAACCCCCCCCACTAATAACAAATAATCGATGAAACATTTGTTGCACTCGGAAGACCTTAACAAAGAAACACGAGAAGCGATACTTTCATATTTTTTTTTTGTTTTTTTTTTCCGGACAAATTTCCGAACGAATTTTTTTCTTGGCGCCGTCGTCCCGAGTTCCGACGACAACCTGGTCTCTGCCGAAACAACGGCGAATAAAGATTGTTCCTAATAATTGCACAAACGCGATTGCCACGAGCCTGGTTTATGCGCGCCTTTGTAATCGGCGTGAGTTTATGATAATGTTTGTGTTTTTAACTGGAGATTATTTGAGGTACCGTCTGTTGGAGAGGCGATTTCTTTATGCCCGGTTTCGATTTCCCCCTCCCTCTCGTTACGCGCAGCACTTGGTACAACCTATGGCGGAACATCACGAGGCGTACATCCTGTTAATTTCGTGCTGATAACGTTCCTGGACCGCTTTCCTCTTGAGTTTAAATGCCGCGGTCACCAGGCCCATGTCGGGCGACCATTGTTCCGCGCACAGCTTCACCGCACCGGGTATTTCAAACCTTTGGAGCTTACCTGGAGCAAACAAATTTAAAACAATCCGATGAGCGACAACCGAAAAATAATAATCGCAATAAAGATAAATCATAAACACGCAGAAACTCACATTTCTTCGCTTGCTCAACGAGTTCTTGGAGCACGGCTTTCTCGATCTTCGGATTACTGCAAAGTTCCTCAAAACTCTTTCCGGTTATACCTAAATTGCTGGCGATTTCGTCCAAGTAATGATTATTAGGTACAACCAGTGCCACCGTATACGCTTTGTTTGCATCGCCATAGACACAGATATTTTCCACAACTGGACAAGTTTTCAGCTCGGATTCGACCTTACCCAAAGAAACGTACTCTCCGAGTTGCAATTTGACCAAATCCTTCTTTCGATCTGTAAAACATGACATTAATTGAAAACAAACACGTCAACCACGGCAACCACGTGAATTTTGATGCCCGACATAATTGTCTTTGCGACGTACCGATAATCTTAATAGAACCATCGGGATGAATCTCGCCAATGTCGCCCGTTCGGAACCATTGCCTGCCGTCCTCCTGGAAGAAATCTTCCTTCGTTTTCTCCGCAAGTTTGTAATAACCCGCGGAAACAATGTCGCCACCGATCACGATCTCTCCTCTGGGATGTGGATGATCCGTTACTCGATAACCAGCCTCCTCCCAATTTTCTAATCGAATGTCGCAAACTGTGGTGGGCGCTCCGACTCTTCCAGTCGTTCTGTCGTGTTCTAAAAACAAACGATACAAATGAGACAATTGCATTGCGTATAGCGCTGTAGTTTCTCCACTGTGTTTGCGAGTAAAAAAATACCAACCATCCATAACGGTTGCGCAAGAAGTTGTTTCCGTGAGACCGTATCCTTGAGTCACGGTAACACAGAGGCAGAGTTTCACTTGATTGTGAGTATCCGGACTGAGTGGAGCACCTCCAGAGAGAACAAGTCTGACCCGACCACCTAACACCTGCTTGGCAGCTCCGAAGATGTACTTGTCAAAGAGAGGTGTCTCGTAGCCTCGCTTCATCCATTTCAGTTTGTATTGATACGCGAAGTTAAAGATAGCTTGTCTGAACGGACCGGACTTCTTCACCTTTTCGTTTATTCCTTTGGAGATACGATCGAGAATAAGCTGAAACGGACAACAAAATCTCGCGTTTTACACACTGATCCGGATGGCAGTCGAAAGAATCAAGACAGTTGTTTCTCTTCGTGTAAACTAAAAACTAAAGTTGCTTACCGGTACCGCAGTTAAGCAAGTAGGATGAAGAACGGACGCATCGCCCTTGGAACCACGCTGAATTTTACTGCTGGAGTCGATCAGTGTAAGCGGCGAGCTGTAGCCGATGGGAACTCCGTTGAGAAGACACATGCACTCCGCCAAGAGCTCGAAGACGTGGGCCAGCGGCAAGAAACCAAGGAAAACGTCGTCCGGTTTTATTTCTACCGCGTCGCAAAACGCTTTCAATGTGCTGATGATATTTTTGTGAGAAAGAAGCACGCCTTTCGGCACTCCCGTCGACCCCGACGTGTACATGATTATGGCGATGTCGTCGCCCTTCGGCGAAACGTCGCCCATTTTCGACGACAAACCGATTTTGGTGACGTCACAGAACGGTATCAGTTGCACTCCGTCCTGAAAAAAAAAACACAAAGCTTGCGGAATATCTCAAAGAAGAAAAAGAGAGAAAAAAAACCAGAGAAGTGACGTGGTTGTAAGTAACACAAATGTCGACTTATTATATCGACGATTACGTAAATGGCGTGATGATAGTCAATCACAGTCAATGCCACAGTCGTTAGGCAAAGACGAGCGCTTTCATGAGGAAGCGCGCGCTACCGACCAAATGTAATGTTTAATAACCGGTTTCTCACATCGTTAATTCGCACTTCACGTGCTAACGATTGCGCAAGCTCTCTTAGATCAAACAATTCTCTTTCTCCGCGTCGCATAAATACCAAGTTAATTAAGATGCTAAAACTGTTAAGTAAACCAGCTAATGCTTATTCAACGCTCACTCACTTCTGTTTTTGTGTCCGATGCAAAAAAAAAAAAAAAAAAAAAAAACAGCATTTGAAAACGCACCTTGTAGCCTGTGGTATCAGTTGCCTTCAGCTGATCCTCCATATAAATAATTGTTTTGACGTTTGGTACCATTGTCAGTAACCGCTTGAACTTGGGCAAAAGATCGTGACTGGTAATGACTGTGTCCACTTCGGTCTCGTTGATGCCGTGGGCGATAGCTTCGTCGCCCAACGTTGCATAGATCGTCACTATCGTGAAATTCTGCTTGAAACACGCGTGTGCCGCTATCATCCATTCCGCTCTCGTCTCGGCGAAGATCACGATGTTTTTGCGCGGTTTCATACCCAACTCCGCCAAACCGCGGCCGAACGTGGTGGCCAGCTTGTCGACGTCCGTGAACGACTTCCACTTGTATTCTCCCATTTTATACTGCAAAAGCGGAAACATTTTGTACCAATAACGTAATTCGATGTTTTTGTGTTCTCATGTCATTTAACGCCCGCAAGATGCGCGCGCTATTCCTCACCTTTTTGAAGACTCTGCCGTTGGCCTGAGGTTCATCTTCCTCCGCTAAAATCTGCCTGGTACCGAGACATCTTTTGTTGCCGTGTTTCTCAACGACCCAAAGAAGCACCTTTTCCAGAGTGTCGATCTTCTCGCGCTCGAGCATGATGTGCATCGATCCCGGGGAATCGACGCTTCGATAAGTGATTTGGTTTTCATCCTTCGAGATTGGACGCGCCTTGATCCTCCTGGACGCCTTGCGCTTTTCCCAAGGTCGCTGGAGTATGAGGTATATGGGAAACGTCAGCAGGTCGTACACATACGATAAAGCCTTGATCGCGTGGATCGCGCCGCTGACCCAGAACCCTTCCATTTCCCTGTTAAATAAAAACACAAAGAACGCGTTTTCAAATTACACGTTTCTCTTAAAACGGTAAAAAGAAATTTGCGCGCATCGTTCGATTAGTAATCGACGCTTGTAAAATTTCAAAGCTCGTGAAATCGCAGTGAAAGTTAAAGGAAAGAAGAACAAGCGCAATTTGCAATTAATTTCTTTAAGTTTTATTAAATTTGTTTTTTTTTTTTTTTTTTTAACTAAATAACTTACGTGAGGTGTTAGGAAATAATATCTCGTTTTAAATAATCTTTCTACAATATTTTTCTAAAAGGGTAACTAAAATGAAAGTGCGAAAACGTTGACTATCTTCATGCTTGCGAAATTCCTCTATCAGAATTCCGCGCGTATCTCGCGCGTTTTGGCTAATACTAGAGTTATCTATAGACGCCACATAGCTTTTTTTTTTTTGCAAAGCGTGAGAGAGTAAAGGCTATCGATCATGCATCGTGCAAATAAACAAGATAGTTTTTACCAGTACGGATCAAGTTCAACCTCGCACAGTACGAAGTCTACGCGCAGGCAACAATTATTCGTCGGAAGTAATCTCTCTCTGTGGGAGAATATCGTTGAGGAAAAACAAACAGAGCTCTGTTTTCCGTTTCTTACGTAACGCGTAAACTGTTGCAAAGTGTCTAGATAAATACTTATTATGCGCTTGTGTCTCCGCAACCAGAAGAAGAAACAAGCGCTCTTGGACGCGCGGTTCTTTTTTTTATTGAGATCGATGAAGTGATAACACACAACAACAATCTATTGAAGCAATGCGATACGAGTTCGAGATTGGATCGCGTATCTACTAATAATGTCAACAATTTATTTTACACGACTGCGATCGTATTTACGTATCATCGATCGACGAGCAATTCAACTGGGAACTTCGCTCTAGTTGATTAATTGATAAGCGTGCGCTCTCTATCTCTCCTTCCGAAGGAGAGACGCGTTTTAAACATTTTCTTTTGAAGTTGTCAATTAAAATTACACGACTTCGGGTCTTCGTATTCGTCAAAGAACGCTGCGAATTCGTTGCCTTACGCAACAACACAAAGATATCTCGGGGAATAAATTGCTCCCGCAAAATACATACAACTCGAGGAAGTTTGTGTCAAAGCTCGCTTTGATTTCAATTCGCGACCGATGAGCGCGCGAATACAACTTTGCACTTTCGCGCAGTGTCTCGAATCGCGAAGTGATTAATTTAGATCGGCGCGCGCGAGCGCGCGTATCGATATCAATTCTTTGTGTTTTTTTTTTTTTATTCTCATGTATTGTGATTGATTGCGCGTATCGCACAACGGTCGCGATATGCAATTTTATTCGTGAACTTTTAACAACACCGCGTTTGCTTCTATCGTTGCCGTTACGTGCGCGACTAAGGCTGTTTTTAATCGAGTTTCTTTCGATTCTTCATCATTTCAGCTATCGATCGTTGCGGATCCAAAAAACGGACGGCCGCGCGTTGTGATGTTACATGTCGAGTATGCGTACAAAGAGATGAGCTACCGGAGTTGTATGTCACGTATCGAGATGACAGAATATGTAATGACAAGTAGCGATGTTCGATGACGTTCGTTGTGCGCGACAAGTTGAGTTTGAACGCGACGATTTTAGCGAAATATTTTATGAGGAAATAAATTCACAGTTGTGCTGCGAGACGCGTTATTTGCCGCACGATAAGATTCGCGGTAGACATAATTCGCGATTTTAATTGCAGACATTTTTTGTACACGACGTCTCTTCAGGATTATTTTCAGATTCTAATTAATCTTGAAAAATTATACAGAACCGGAGATTCTAGAGGTTTGTTTTATTGGTTGCGCAATTTTAAAATAATCAGAATATTGAAAACCAGCGCTCAACGAAATAAATTCTCGCAAACCGTTCCACGTGCCGCGTTGAACGAGAAGCTGATCGGTTTTCTTTCGCGAACACTGATCGATGAACCTTTCGTTTCGTTACTACAGACTGAATTGATGACTGAATTAAATGCAGACTACGTGAACACGACACACGCGATATAATAACACGCTATTATTAAAACGATCTCTACGTGTGTGTGTGTGTGTGTGTGTGTGTGTGTGCGTGCGTGCATGTGTGAAGTAGAACAGCCTTCGTAATTACATTATTATTCATGCCGTTTCCAATTTAAGCTATTTTAATTTATGCTATCTGCAAATAAACAAGTTACAGAAGTGTCTTTTTATTTCTTTTTTATATTTCAATTCGCGACGCGAGAATAGCGCTAATTTGTTATTCCGCGTTATTACGTTGTTGTTGTTATTTTCAATTTGCAATTGAATGAACACGCTCGACGATAACGTTAAACGATGAGCTTCTCGCGTTATGTAAAGTTACACAGTCGAAGGAAAAAAAAGAAAGAAAAAAAAAACAAAAAAAAAACACGAACGTTACGCAATATCGCGGACTTCGAACGTCGCGTAATTCACCAAACTACACACCGATACCCCTTATCTACGGTTGTGAGAGGAAAAAAAATTCTTGAAAGTGTCCCGCGATATCAGACGCGTATCATCAGCAAGATGTGCCGGCTTAGCCGTTGTTGCAGCAACAGGCGGCAATCTCGCTCGCCACTCTCGCCTGATGTAACTCGCGAGATCTGCGGTTTGTCTATCAATAGACAGGTAAAAAAAAAAAAAAACTCCGATATGTGTGTAAAGTACAAAAACGCGCGCTCATCTCGCGGTCACGCGAGAACGAACCTCATCCTCGCGATTCGCGAAAACAAAACGAAATAATTGCGGGCGCGAGTTCGGATTACCCTGCGATTTTTTAAGGGGATTTTTTTCTTGCGCACGCGTGTAGCAGTTACCTGAAGATATTTGTTTACAATGACAGATATTATTTACAATAACGCGAGGCGATATTTTGTGTGACAAGAAGCGCAGCTTTTTTGGATCGAAATAAATATCGGAGAAAGAAAGAAATCGCAGACGTTGGGCAAACACATCGCGATTGTCTTGATAAAGATGTTGAAATATCATATTGTTCCAAGTAATGTTTTCTCGTGATAAATATTGAACAAGTCTATCCAAATGACATATATTGTTGTACTTACAGACGAGATTGTCGTAAACATGAAAAAATGCACATATTTAATTTGCTGTCTCTTAATTGCTACGTCAAGCAACCGTTTGATTATACAATCATCGAACGTTGATTAATTAGCCGCGACGCGATAAAAAATGTAAAAAAAAGCATACATATTCACATTGTGATTATTTTTTTTTTTTTTTTTTTAAACGAAAAGGTTTTGCAAGATATATTACGTGTAGCGCGCAATAAAAACGTTTGAAACCGTGAGAACGAAAACCGTCTTATTGTCTTCAACCGAGCTAGCTGTGTTGCTTATCGCGCGTTCATTATTTATAGAAATAATAGAACAAAGTGTCAACTAAGTGACCAAGTAAAATACTACACTTTTTTCTCGGAAAACGTCACGAAATCGATATGCAGGTAAAATTATGCGATATATTCGCGTTTGCTGCAGAGATCGATGTACATAACTACAACATCGCGTATATTACGCGATAAGAGATGATGTGTTGCTTAATAGAGTGGAGCGATATGCAGGTAAAATATTGCGACATCTTCGCATTTGCTGCGTAGATCGATGTATTGTATAACTTAAACATCGCGTATATTGCGCGATAAGAGATGATGTGTTGCTTAATAGAATGGAGCGAAGTATGTTAATTACAACGAAAAGCAAAACATCTCGAAATCGTGGATATCGAACGGCTCATCATCAGAACGTCATCAAAATCGATGAGTATAAAAAATAAACTGTCATATAGTGTAAAAAATAAACTGACTATATTTAACACTTATAACTGCGTATTGTCTCGGGACAAAACAAGTATTTAAATCTAAAAATGTAAATTTAAAAAATATCGCACTTTGTGTTCAACGTTAGACGTGATTTTGTATGTGATTTTCAACGCGACTTGTGTGTAACACACACTTACTGTTTAAACTCTACTCGAACAAGAGATTAAAATCACTACTACATTTTGCATGAAGTACTTATACATAATTACGCGATACATTATCTTACGATCTAAATATGATTCACATATTTGCATGCTGATATCGGAAGGAACAGTATCGTGCTAAAAATAAGTCAGACAGATAAGTCGAAGCAACAGAAATAAATTAATTAACGGAAGAAAAACAATAAAAGTAAAAATTCTCTTTCTCTCTTCTTCTCTCTCTTTCTCTCTGTACTCTGTGTGTGTGTGTGTGTGTGTGTGTGCGTGTCTCGATAATAAATTCAAACCGCGTCTCTGCGTGTGAAATTACAAGTGCACAGATATAGAAAAATTTATAAATATGCATCGAAACATGTAGAATATGCTTTTGAGAGATAAAGTAAAATTTAAAATTTTGATACGTAGAAAGAGAGAGAAAATGAGTTGCGAAGATACAAAAATAGAGTGTAACAAAATAGATAAAAAAAAAAAAAACTTGTTCCGAGAGAACATGTGGTCGTGATGTTATTACGGGAACACACATACATTCCCCGTGGGCTACAGCGCGCGCATAATTTCAACAACATTTGTGCGCCGAGGGCGAGAGAAATCGCGCAAGCGACAGAAGTAGGAAGACATATGGCATGCGCAGCCGAGAGAAAACTGCATGCGGGGCTCTATGCAGCAGCGTGTGACGCGTCGCACATCACCAGGCGGTGCGATTTCATATTTTAAGACAGTTTTATTGTACAGCGGCATATTTTCCGCGACTCACTGTTTATCGTCCACGATCATGGTGGCGACACTATTGGATTCACCCTTCGTAAATCGGCACTTTTTTTGCCGTCTAGGGAGCTGCCTCTGTCACGCAGATTAATCGACACTGCAAGAAAAACCATTCCCAAAGTTTCGGCAAGGTTAGTAGGACCTTTGAAAAAAAAAAATGCATGCAGTACACACGCCTTTCTTCTCGCTGTTGAAACGAACTCTCGACTCCGACGACGTGCTGGAAAATCCTCGAGATCGGATTTCACCCACCCTCTTTCCCTCTTCCCGCCCCTCCCCATAGCAATGTAACGAGAGACCCAGATCTTCAAATCCCGACCTTCGTACCGGCCGTCGTTTCACTAAACGACCCCGTTCTGAAAGCACAGAATTTAAAAGAGATGCGCCTCGTTTACCTCGCTATATTTTTTATAGCGAAATCAAAAGTAGTAGTTCTATATGTACTTCTGTTAAGTTTCATAGTTATTTTTTTTTACTTTTAAATTTTATTATCGACACAAATAATAAGGAACAGACGTATGTGCGACGATTTTCTCAGTAAAATGTAGCTGGAAAGCATCCAGCACAATCTTAATTTGGATTGGATAGAAGTTGCATATATACGCGACAATTTAATTGACAAATTTTTCATTTTAATTGGTAATTTAATTGGCAACTATTTCATGTAACTATCGCGCCGTGAAACAAAAATTAATAACAAATTGGATCTACATCCGTCGCGTCCCATCAGAGTTTTTGATTGAAGAGAAGCGAGACGTTTCACTTACATATTCTAGAAACCACCTCTTCGACTTTGTGTTACGCGGTGCGAGACGAAGAAATGGTAGCGGCGATCGATCGCGATCGGCGATTTCCGCGACAAAATCTTGCGCGCGTTGCGAAGAATTCCATGCCCGCTATTCGTCCGCCGGGCGATCTCAACGGTCCGTTAACCGCGTGGCAACTGACACGGTCAAGTGCACTTTGCCCCCGATATACGCGTGCACGTGTCAATTCACGTCAGAATGCACGTATCGCGGTCGAAGCGCGAATGCAACGGCGTTGCTCAACGATCATCCGAGCGAAGAGAGAGACCTGAGGATGTTCCCGAAGTTTAATCTGATTGTGACGACGATCGCTCGCGCATTCGAAATTTCGCCGCCGTTAATTTATCCATCGATTTGCACGTAACTCGTACATTTTTTGTCGAATGGAAAAAAAAAGAAAAAAAATGCAAAGAATCAATTGTTTGTATAATTATACAATTTGCATGTAGATAACTTTTGAAATGTCTCAAAAAAAAAAAATAAATAAATAAATTATCGACATTTGCATCACTTTGAATAATAATTTCGTTAAACCTTCAACTAATTATTTTTTTTTTTTTTTTTTTTTTTCGTAATCGCGCAGACATAAACGATACAATATATTATGTACGGAAGGATGTACTTTGCTCAGCGTGCGTGATCACGAGACTGCGATCCAAAGTTCGCGTTAAACGCAGATCGTTATTCAGATTCGCTGATAGATAGTAGTACAAAGAACGAGGGCAACGTTCGCGACGTAATCCGCTTCACGAGATCGCGCGAACGATCTGAATCTCATCGGCAACTTGCTCTTCGATATATGTTGTGTGCCTCTGTTTTATTTTTCTATAATCAAAACGTGCGAGACATTTGCATCGAATTTTCACAAACCACGAGCAAAGCTCCGAGAATTTCTCGAAAAAAAACGTCGCGGTTTTCGTCGCTATTGCGCAGACATTTGTATTTATCGAAATACATTCAAAATATACACATATGCGATAATTTATCACGACGAAAGAGAACTGCAATAAAATATGCAAAAGGAAACGTGTACTCTTTTCTAATGCAAAAGCGTGTTCGTATCTTATACAATTTTATTTGCTCGCAACACGTCGAGGCATCATATTCACATCTCTCTCTCTCTCTCTCTCTTGAGGTTTAAAGTCCATTCGGCAAAAAATATTTTTTTCAAAATGCTGAATAATCAGAAGTAACGTTACGCAAAAGATAAAACGAAAAAAAAAAAAACATTGTCGAAGCAAAATTTATATTTGCAAATTTGTTTTTTTCTTTTTTCCCCGTTGTTTTATCGGTACTTCGTATCGCGGAGTCCGAAGTTCGAGAGAGACCGAGCGAACATGACCACGAAAACGACCGCACGGAAAGAAACGGTCGTGATACCGATAAAGGTATCGTCGTTGAAAACGACAATATATTTCATACAGACGTGTGTGTTACGTCACCGCCTGTATTCGTGGCAGCCTTCATTCACCACGTATCAGCCACGACGAATGCTCGTGAACCAGAGCTCGATCGATTGTAATGCTCAAAAGCGCGCTTAAGGTTTAACAAACTGCCCGGATATAATTAAGAATGCGCGCGCGTGAGTAATATTTATTTTGGCATTAGAATGTATTACTCGCGTAAAACGCGCGTAGGTTTCAACGTGTGTCGTGTTGTGTTGTCACCTGAACGAAAGGTCGAACGGTGATTTTTCATTGCGCAAATTAAAGTCACGATTTTTTATTCTTGATCGCGAACACACTCATGTATATGTACATATAAAATACATATGTTTGTTTCACGTGCGCGGTGAATTGCGTCACCCAATAAAGAATGCAAATATTCGATACTTGTTTTTTTAATAAAATTTATAAAATATGCGCGTGACCGTTACGGGAGGAAGATCGCAGATAGATTCGAGACTTGTTTTCGGGAAATTTGTCACACAAAGTCTGTGAGAAAAAAAATTATTGAAACAAAACATTTTGTAATATGTTAATTAGTTGATGTTCATTAGTTAATATAATTTACGTATATATGAATTTTTTAATTTAACATTCAACTTCGCTCTCTATCGGTCTTTAAGATTTGTTTGCGACTATTGATCGTATACAGTAATTTAAATTAGAACAATTTGAATTTATAGCCGCTCTAATGATAAAATAAGGAATATCTTATTACAAACGAAAATGACTTTAGCACTTTGATTTTACTTCCTTTCTTTGATCTTTTTGTCAAACACGACCGTTCGGAATCACAAACAAGCTCTCGGCGTGTCTGCCAATTCGATCGACGTATTAATTTCACTTAAGAGCATATTGCTTCAGGGTTAATGAGCAGCGGATGATGCTGCTGTGCCCTTTCCCTTTCCTACGTCGCGAGTTATGATCTTGCTTTAACTTCGTTCGGAGGGACAACACGAGTTTGTCCAAATTAACGTGATCGCTGACCCAATTTGCAGGCACAAACGTTCCTCAAGCACGTGGAAATAAGCTGTGATGCACCCACATCTGCGACACACACGATGACGTGAACCCATGTGTTCTTCATCGTGAAGCGTATTTAGCGAACGTAACATAATCGCATATGCAGGGTAATTTAAAACCGCACCACTGACGAGAGCTTCTGGGGATTGTAACTTAATCGAAATGCGCACTTGCGTTCATTGATTAAAAAAAAAAAAAAAAAAAAAAAAAAAAGACACGTGTTTTACATACAGAGAAATTCACATCAAAAATCAAAGTGACTCCAAAACAGATTCTGAAATGTAAATATTGAGCTGGATCGGGTAATTTTGTCGAAAGCTATTTATTTATTCTAGCGATTACGACAGCGAAAGAACAACAACGATTACTTGGCAGAATAAATAAATCGTTTTCAATAAAATTACTTGATTCCGTTTTTCTGTCACAAAAAATCCATCAAAACTTTCGCACTCGTTCAATACGTTCGAGCAAAAGAAAAAAAAATATTACGAGCCAAAAGCCGGAGAGAATCAAACGCGGTCGTCAAGTGAAATCACATCTTTTGAACGGATATCTCTATTTTCGATCCTTTTCATTATGCTATCTCGGAAAAAAACGTTGAAGAGCGACAAAGAGGATATTATCTCTGGAAGAAGTTCCACAATGCATATGTATATAAATTATTGTATCTTTGTGATCTTATTTTTTATCTTTCATCAATTTGCAAAAATCTTGCACTCTGCAAACAGTGTGTCAATACGCGGCAGATAACGATTTTTCAAAAGTATCGTTTATGACAAAACACAAAAGAAACTATAGTGTATAAAAGATAAAAATATTGTAGTTTATATAGTATGTGAAAAAGAAACATTATCTTTAAATTTGTAGTAATCTCTTTATAACAATTTGATAATAGCGTGCCGATGACACATTAATTTTTTTCTCGTCACTGACAAAGTCGAGACAATGGCGAAACTCTGTCATGTCTCCCAATGTTTTTTAAATCCACGTAAATAAATATTTGCGTTACTTTACTGTTTGTCTCATTACAAAACATTACGTGCGCTTTGCTGCAAGTTATCAACATTATAAATATTAATAACGTTAAAGCGTGAAGTAGTCATTGCTAAGGTAATCGCTAAAATAATCGCTTAACCGACGTTAATTACTTAACGTAGTAAATTAAGTTGCTTGAATGCAAATTATCCGCGTTGGACGGATTAGATACCGAGAGAAAAGTATAAAAGAGCAGCGCAAACATTACATTTGCATTTTGTGTGCAAAACGAAACCACTATATTAGGTACACGTCGAACTGACAAGGTGGTGCGATTGGTAAATTAACATCCGTCGAAAAGTGTCAAACAACTCGCAATTTGTCGATAGATCAAATCGCCACGATCGCAAGACAATACTGTAAACATCTATTTAAAACACAAAGTTACATTACAAAATACGTCAATTTCTTTCTCGGAAAACGCTTTTGGGTTATTTTGTTAACTTTGCGAGAAGAAAAGTGACATTCAAACGTAATATCAAATACTTTATTTCTACACAAAACAATTCTCGAACAACAAGTCACTCGGAATAATCAATTTTAACAAAACAAAGAATAAAATCATAACGCAGTGACATCTCTTTGGAAGATTATGTAATAATTACGTAACAGAGAAAAAAAGATCTAGGACGGTGAGCATCGCGCTGCGATGGATTCGTCGTCACTTTGAGGCTTCTTGAGAAAAATTCCAGACAGAAATCGTACAATTACTTTGCACGGAGAAGAATGATCATGACGGTATTATATTTATTCAAGCAAGAAAGCTAATAGACCAATATAACTTGTCGTAACGACACAATGCGCGCGAATGTTCGCTGCTCTTTATTACCGACTCACAAATGTGCGCGTAAAATTTCGTCGATCACAAAGCCGATGGAATGTCTTCGTTTTGAAACGACTCGATCGTTCCGTCATTCACGGTCTAAAAACCCACAACAACCGACATTTATTTCTATGTAACCGGAAGAGAATCGATGGAAGAGGGATCGCGAGAAGAGAACGGGAGGGGAAAGATTTTACGCTACATCGCCGTTATTAATAATGTGCGCGCGCGCGGTCAACGATAAAACCGCCATGTACTACTTTACGGATTGTTTTCCGTCTAGGCGATCGTCCACGTCCGTCTCGCTCTGGCGTTGTGTTAAAACACACACGCGTCGCTCGCGCACGAGATCTCGCGATCATCGAAGCTGTGATTTTATGCGACCGTTACACGTCACACGCACAACACGTGTCCACCTAGAGACGAAGAAACTAGTTAATAAATGTTACGAAACAAATTGAGGAGATACGCTCGCGTTGTGCGTTATAAATCACAACCGGACTTTTTACTATTCGACGGAAGTTATCAATAAAGTAGCAATTAATTCTGATAACTTGACGAGGATCGATACACGTGACGATGTGAATTCCGCGTTCTTGACATTCTCCCGAGAGAACCAAGGCGAGTTGCCGTATTAGTGTTCTATTATTGCGCAAATCCTTATTATGTATATATTCAGAGAATAATTCCGATCCGCATTCGGAGCAAAGGTGATTCGTTTTCGTGGTTCTACAAAAGGCAATTTGAATATTAATCAAGGTTCCCTCTTGCGTGGGAAAATTCAACGAGCAATGGCGCTCTGAAATAACAATTATATACAAGATTTTTTGTCGTGGATCGATTTGAATAGTTTTTTTTTCTTTTTTTTCTAATAAATATGACGAGCTTACACGAATTGTCATTTTCATTCGCGATTATTCTCGTCTCCATCCGATACAAAGGTTAGTCGATACGATCTCGTCGTCAGTGATTATTCCGCGAAATTAATAAAATTCCGTTCGCGACTCGATAAGGAATCCTCGCGCGTTTTTTCTCCGTTCGAGATTTTATTCGCATTTTTAACATAAATGTCACGTACCGCAAAATCGACATTATTAATTGTTCCAGGAATTATCGTCCGGAAGTTTGAAATGCGATTTGACTTCAGAGAATCCTGCAACACAATGACGCAAACGTGAGTAACGCGCGCGCGGAGACATTACCCTTTAGAAGAAATTATCTCCCCCGAAAAAGAGATAAAAAAAAAAAAAAAAGGACAGCGCCACGTTGCGTTTCCCGAAAACGCGTTTTCACAGACAAAAAAATTCCCGCAGCAAAAAAACTCTAGTTCGGAAAATCGAGAATTTTGTGAGAAAAATACGTGCGTTTCGTTATCGGCGAAACGTTGCGCGCGTGCATCGCAAATGTACGAATCAATTTGCATCTTTACGAAACGCAAGTCGCGTTTAACGATCATTGTAATAAGCGTAGTAATTAACTCGTTTTTTATTGTCAGTAAAAATTTCCGTTGCCAATTCCGCGACAACCGTGTCGAGATTTAGCGTCTACATTGAACCTCGATTCCTCTTTTTTAAAACTTTAACAGGAAAAAAGGAAATTTCGGACGTATTATGTAACGTCAAAACTAGCATCTACTTTTTCTCTTACTCCTACATCAAAAAAGAGGAATTGAGGTTCAATGTAGACGCTAAAGTTCGACTCGGGCGCGATCGCGCGATTTTCGAAGGATTCTGACGCTCACAGGTGGCGAACGCGCGCTTACTCGAAGTGTGAATAAGCAGCGGCAGAGCATCGGCGCTTACCTTGCGAGTCGATCACACGACGAATAGATTTTTTCCCCCCGCTTTCCTGCCTTGCCGCGAGATCGTCGTGTCACTTCCAGCCGAGATTCTCTGCTGCCGTTGCTTTTCCCACTGCGGTCGCGGGAGAGGAAATTACCACGCGCGTGTGATTCAAGGGTCAACAATGATGTGGGTGCGTGTATATCACCGGACTGGGCCTGGTCTCTGCGTTCAACACCCGCGCGAATTATCGACGCGTGTTATGTTGTAAAGCGTTGCGAAAAGAAACAAAAACGTACATATATTCGTGCGTGAAAACAATCGGGAAAAGAGGAGATTGTGAGATTGTTCGCGACAAGCTCCTTGAGACGGTCGACGCACGACTGAACTCGGACTGTATCGCGCCGCTACTTCGAATCGCACGAGACGCAACTTTCTGGCTACCTTTGATCTTTGCTCTTCGGACTCCACTCGGACGCGTCGCTTTATCCCCCGATAAAACGAACGCGATATACGTTACGGGAGGTGGGAGCGACCGTCGTTGGCGCCATCAGCTGTTCGATGCGGACTTTTCACGCGACCGATGCGATTCGATGACGAAAGGACAACACGCGTTCACCCTCATTTCGATCTCGCGAATTGCTACACGACTATTGCTATTTTATTTTATTTTTTTTTTGAAGATTAATAATAATAACAAAACAGCTGAAACGCGAAAGTGGAGTGCGAAAGGTCCTTTGAAAGACTTTTTCCTGAGAGACAGTCTAAAATTAAAACGTTTCCCAATAGATCGATACAGAATCGATCGTACGCGCGCTGTTAAACGTGTAAACACGTCAATGTCGTATATTACATTAAAAATATTTGCGACATGTGTGTTTACACGCCATTCACAATTGGCAGCGTAACACGCGCGGAAGATAATAATATCACCGTCGGCTAAAAATATCGTCGGGTTAAAAATCGCTCGCGACGTGACCGATCGTCAGAGTCCGAGAGTTGCGACACATGTTTTCTTATATTTCGTGCACGTTTGCGAGACGCGGGATGTGCGTGATATCATCAGTCGCGCGATACAATATCAAAGTCTCGAAAGATGCGCGCACACACACACACACGCGCGCGCGCGCGCGAAAAAAGTCAATAATAAGCGTGTAAGAATAAACATCACAGCTGATCCTCTGAACGATCCTCGCGCGATATCACAACACATATTCGGTTTCTTCGCGATTTCCCACGTCACGATGTAGTAATCCGACGTGCGTGCGTGCGTGCGTGCGTGCGTGCGTGCGTGCGCGCGTGTGTACTGCGGCCAATAATATCGTGTCACATTAAACCCGAGAGAAGTGAGTAATCCGAGATCCGTTCGTTCCTCTCTCTTGCTGTTATTTGTCTATTTTCCCGAATCGCGCGGAAGACGATTCGGGAAGAGAAACGTTGATCTCGCTTCGCCGCGTTCGAATTCTTGCGAAATTTTTTTTAACGCGTAATGTAAAATCTGTTTAACGACACGTTGAGTTCTTGTCCACGTGTTACATCGTATTATTTCTATATTTCGTGTACCGAGAAACCGAGAATACTTTGATGTCAACAATGCGACCTATCGTCGTCCCTTCCATTCATCGTTCGCCAATGTGACACACACCGTGTTTTCGCGTTTTCTTTGAATGAACGTTTCTCTCTCCTATTGTATTTAAATCGACGAACGCATGTATTCAGCAAAATTTACGTAATATCCAATCTAATGAGTCACAAATAGTCACGAGACTACGGTCGCTTACGTGCGTGTCACCTAACCTTACTCCAACCTCCTCTTCCCTCTCCCCACAAACATCCGATAAACCGTTAGAATTAAAATCACCGCGAACGCGACATTTTTTTTCTTTCAAATTCAGCTCCGCTGAAATTCACACCGACGAAAGCGTACGTTTCTTCTCGGAATCCTCCCCGTTCCCTGGTTCGTTGTATGAGAAACGGGGTTACGTGAATTCGTCGCTTACGTTGTTCTCTCGCAAGAACAGCTGCGCCGCAGAACCTCGGAACCTCCTCTTCTCAATCCACGTATCCGCACACGTATGCAGTTCCCGTTGCGATCTTTTTCGCGTTCTCGCGATATATTCGCGGTTCTATGTACCTTCTGCCGTCCGTCCCTCTTGCTCTCAGGACTTGGAAACCGAAATAATCCACGATGTCATTGTCGCCAATCACGTTTTTGTTCCTCTTCGACGCACACCCGGAGGACGCGAGAACACGCGAGTACACGCCGTCGTATAATTTTACATATGTGTCGTTAAACCGACCGACGAACCAATTAGAATACAACTCGTACGCACCGATGTGGAACACGAGCCAACCCGGAGATCAACACCGGGGCCATCTTGCCGCCTGAAACTGGCGGAGATCGATGGGGGACGCCGCGAGCGTCCTCTGTCGACGCGGAAAAGCGTCGTGCGGTTATCGCTTTTCGAGAGTTCAAGAAGAGAAATTCAACTTTCTCCAGCAACGTCCCCCTTTTATTTTATTAAGTGTTCTTCTTCTTGCACGTATATTCTCGCCTGTGATTTTTCTCAGCGATTGTTTCACCCCCGAATTCTTGAATTGTCAAACGTTTTTTTTTTACGCGGTTTATTTTTCTTATTATTCCGTCATTCTATTTTGAGATTCTTTTTCGCAAATTCACACAAAAATGTTTTTTTTTTTTTTAAGTTTCGTATCAATTTTTAAACTTCGTCCTTTTTTCCACAAAAATGTAAAACAGTTTGAAGTTTCTATTCGCGCGAACGAGAGATTGGGGTGTCAATTTGATACAAATCATTGACACCGGTTTTAGAATTTCTCTTGAACAAAAATTGTGATTGTGGAAATCAGCAGAATGAACGATTTAATTGTTGAGAGAACCGAAAGAGAGGTTTGTAAATTTCTTACCCCGCCTCATCGTTAGCTGATCATCGGTTAGCGGCGTGTGAGTTAGCGGTAAATATAGTCGACTCAATTTTCCTTCTCTCTAAGCTTGTATTTGTTCTGCCCATTACACACGCGGGACCGCAATACGATCTAATAACGGACACGCACGAAGTCCCACATGTTTAAAGCCGGACACCCGGACGTGTTTCGAAAATACCGCAATACGCGCATAATTGGAACAACGAAAATTAGCTGTAAAAAAAAAAAAAAAAAAAAAAAATATCGCGTGCGAGAAGAGAATGTAAGAGGATTAATTTTCGCCGTTATTTTTTTGTTTTACGCGGAAACAACATATGATCGCGCGAATACGTAAAGGTGTGACAAATATTGCGCGTTCAAGTGCGAACTTTTTCCAAACGATTATTCACATCTGTGTTCTGTCACATATGTGTCTGTAACAATTACGTTACACGCGCGCGCGCGCGCGTTATCGCCTGGCAGAATTTTCATACGAATTTTACGCATTCCATAAAAACACGCGGTATCAAACAGATGAAACAGCACAAAATCTCTACGGAACACAAATCTCTTACCTTATCCCTCGATTCCACGTGACAGTGTGTCACGGACAGTGTGTGCGATTTGATGATTCGTTAGTGTATTACTTGTACACACGAGCACACAGCATGAGATCTCACGTGAACGCTCTCTATCCATTTAACGTGGCGCAAATCAGCGATATATCAACAATCAACACAGCCTCTACGCGCGCAAGAAAACGCTCATGTTTCAACTTTTGATATATACGTATGTATATGGGAGACTGCGTGTTGCGTGTGTGTATGTATGTGTGTGAGTTACGTACCTTGTATCTTATTTAAAGTACTCGGCGCGCAGCGCAGGTACAAAGTGAGTTTTAAACGTGAGTGTTAAAAGTTTTTTTGCTCGACGTGCAACGTGGTACAATACGCGCTCGGTGTCAGATGAAGAAACTCATCGGCACTACGTCGCATCGCACGATAGACCCCGTTTACTCGAGAGTGTCTGACTACCAGCGGAGCCGGTCAGTGTGTGTTGTGTGCGATACGCGGCTCGCGACAGATCTCGATATAGACGGCCGGCCTGCGCGTGGACCAATCGCGCGTCGAGTTGCGCTGGGCGGAGATGTGGCGTGATCCTCGGTGACGTCACGCAAAGCCAGCGATCGATAACTCGAACTCGCGCGACTCGCACGAACTTCGTTCATGTGCGATGCGATGCAACCTGATGCAACCGGCGGGCGATCGATGAGCGCGCGATTACCGTATGTATGTATATGCGTTTTGTATTTGAAATCTTGCGGCCGTTACGTGGCCGCAATCCCGATCTGTAACGCGTTTTCGCTCGAATCGCGTGTGTACCGCGTCGAACGATCGCGTCGGCGTGCAAGCGCGAGTGATAGGGACTTCGAAATCGATGATAACGAATCCTCGCACCTAACCTTGCATCATCCAGCAGTTTCGCGCACTCGTTTTGAAGCCGCGCGTGTTATCAGGTGAGTGGAGAGATACGTTTGCAGCGCGTGTATATAAAATTTATCGACGGCGCGTAACATTTTGTGTAAATATGTTGATAATTTGTTGTTTGCTTAATTTTGTATTGAGAGACGTTCCACACGCGACAAAAAACACTTGGAGAAATTATTCGAAATTGATTCCGAGATTCGAAGATTCAAATCCACGCGATATTCGCGAATAATTCGAATGTTACAAAATTTGGTCAGAAAAATATTCAGCTCGTTGCATACACGAAGTTGAATTTCTCTTTTTTGTGTGTTTTGACAACTTGCTTACTGGTCGGTATCAAAGCGCTCTTCTGATGTTTACAAAAAACAACGTCTTACGTTATTTTGTTTTTTTTATACACAACGTCAAATCCGTTCGATTATTATGTAACTTTTTGGAATAGTTTTGAAATAAGTTTGCTTTTCTCGATCGTGTTATTTTGTCGCGACAACAAAAGAAAACAAACTTTCGATCGGAATCGATTTCCGAAAGAAATACTTGGGGATACTATTATATGTATGCACACACCGCATTGTTCAAGTTATAATAATTGCTACGTATTCCTGACAATGGTTATAGATTATATTTAATGCAAAATACGAGACGTCATTTTATTTCACAAAATGGCGAGTTTATTTAAAGAGAGAGTGAATAACCAAATAAGAGAACCTGTTTTAAAAAATAACTTCGCAAAAAGGATTTAATATGCATGAAAAAAAAAATGTAATAAATAGTTAGGAAAATTTAATACAAACTAGTAAGAAAAGAAAATTTAATATAAAAGAAAAATTATAATAATACTAGTTTATTTTGTGTAAATGATTTTCGTTGTTACATCGCCAGAGAAAACGATTAAAAAAACATTTAAAAAACCTAAACAAAGAAACAATTGATGAGGATTGGAGCGCTTGTTTTGGAATATAAATTGCGCAATACACACCGTGTAGGTTTTGTTTTCTTTTTTTTTTTTTTTTTTTTACATAATTAACATTTAAACTTTATTAAAACCAACAACAGTTGTGTAACAAGTGCAATAACAACAATTGATTCGACAGTTCGCAGAAACTGCATTCTTTTCTCTCTCTTTTGCATGAGTTTATGTATTATATATATATATATATATATGTATATATATTTTTTTTTATTCTATTCGTTATGTAAAAGATATCAACCTGCTTCGCCTCGTCGCACTATGACCACGCCGACCGGTCAGTTTCGAACGAGTGTTTTTCAATCGTCATTGTGAGCGAGCGAGCGTCTGGTAACCTGCGACATTAGTAACATTTGCAATAAACACAGAAATTAAAGGCGTGTTATGTCGTTGATGACGATGAAGACGATGTGAAACGGGATGCGCTCGCACATCTATTTTTTACGCATTCATTCGCGATTGTATTCTTTTTATTTACACAATTTCGTGTGCGCGCGAAAAATCATAGGACGAAACAGCGTCCCTCACGATGCCACTACGATCGCTACAAGCAATGCAAGGAGACAAGCGAGCAGGATAATGGAATACGTCGTTATCGTGACGGTTATGATGTTAGTGACATAGGGAGCGCGTACTCCGCACTCGAGTTGCAATTCCGTACGATCAAGCTCGCACACTTCTGCGTGCCGCTCACCTTCGCGATTCTCATCGCATCGCGTCGCGTCGCTTCGCGTCGTCTCGACGCCGCTCGGCCGCACCGCCGTCTTCTTCTCCTCCTGATCGCGTTCCTGCTCCTGTCTCAGGGCGTCGGCGATCAGACCGATCTTACGCATCGGATTGCTGTCCTCGTTCTCGTCCGTACTTGTGACCGGTGTCACGTCGATTCTCCCGGCGCGTTTTATTCTCAAACTCTCGATCTCAGGCCCGTGTTCGCACAGACTGGCCGCGGCTAGTTGCAGGTTGCGAACGGCCCTGGATAAATCCAGTTCCGCGTCGGCAGTGGAAACGTCCTCGTAGCGATTTCCGCTACTTTGGTCCTCCTCGTTGCTCGTCGTTGAATTGCGTTTCTCGCGGGCGATTTCCCCGTGTTGTCTCGGAGAAAGAACGAGCCGCCGCTGCTCGTCGTTCCGCGTCGCTTGCTCGTCCTGGCTTTGCAGAGCGGAACTGCGCGCGCTGTAACTCTCCGCTTCGGAACCGTGCGGGGACGAATTATTCTTGAGGGCGGACAGACGATTGTCGCGCAGACGATCGACCACGTCGCCGAAAGCCTCCGCGATCAGCTTGACGTTCTCGTCCGCCACGCGAAGATAGAAATCAAGGTTGTCGGCCGGTTGATTCGATTCCGAAGCAGGCTCTGCGGAATTTGCAATCGAAGACGGAATTGGACTCTCGTCCGCGTTTTCGTCCGCGACGCGCCTCTCGTCGCTGGCACGCGCGGCACGTTGGGACTCCGAGCAATGACTATCTAGAGACCGTGGGCTCGTCGCGGGTTCGTCGACCGCACTGTGTTCGACGTCGTTCGACTTATCGGTCGGCGCGACGGAATCGTCCGCATTCGGCGACTCGATCGGCGGCGCCGTGTCCTCGTCGCTTTTTATCAAGTTAACCAGATCTTGGCAGAGACGACTGTACGCGCTGAAGTCCGTCTCGGTCGTGCCGCTATTGGCTGCCGAGATGTTGGAATCCGAGCGCAGGTATTCGTGCCAAAAATCGTCGTCCAAGACCGTTCTCGAAGACATCATCGCAACATCAGACAGCTCCGCGGCACTCGACGCCTTCTTGGGACTTCGCGTCGCCTCCAACGTCGTCGTTTCCAACAACGTATAAGCGCACGGTTTGTCCCGACCCGCGCCCACCATCGGATGATTGCCGTTGATATCCGTATCTCGTCCGTCGACGAGCGACGGTTTTTTTCGCCTACGCGCGTCAGTATCGGACAATTCGCCGTCGCTCACGACGCGTCTGAGATATTCCGGTCGTTCGCACGAAGTCGCCGCGGCGAAGCTCGTCCCGGCGTTCTGAATCTCGTCCCGAATGGCGTCGAGGCTGGGCTCGCGTCGCAGATGAATCCGATCGTGATTGATCAATCCGTAGAGATTGGCCGAGAGCGATCTCACGGCGCGCTTCTTCCTCGTTACATCCGCCGTCTGTTCCTTCGCGACGATCCTGTTCTCGGTCGGACTTCGCGCCGCGCCCGCGTCCTTCCGTAACGTTCTGTAAGCCAAGTCATCCGTGATCACGTCGGGCTCGCATTGCGGTATGTACGGCGAGCGCGGCTGTTCCGGTTTCGTCGGTGTCGTGTGCAGATAGTCGCTCTCGGTTGCCGCGGTGACCGGTCCGAGCGGAATGCCGAACGGCGGCTGCGGATCGATTACGCGCAGAGTGTTGTTCGCGTGAGTTATGCTGCGAAACACCACGTCGTCACGCGTCACGTCCGGCTCGTTGCGACGATAGGACGGATAGGTTGCCGACGAGCACAACCGAGCCAGATCGTCGGCCGAGTCTCTTCGCGAGAGAATAGGTGAGGCGATGAGATAACTGATGTTGGACAGAGCCGACTGTCCCGCGATATCCGACAACGACGTGGGTCGCTCTTTGGGATGCATCCTTCGATAGGCCATATCGTCCGTCGTTCTGTCCGGCGAGTCGTCCGGGACGATCGCGGCGTCGAGCTCGTTTTTGCTATGCTTCAGACTGAATTCCTCCATGCTTCGGCGTTCCGCGCGATCCAGAAGATCCTCGTCGCCGAGACGAAGGCTGTTGTATATCGCCTCCAGCTCGGACAGAGCCTCCTCGAGATTTCTCGAGCTTCTTCGTCTCTCCATAGCTTCCTCGCTCGTAGGTGTCGCTCTTCTCGCGTCTTCCTGTTTGCTTCTCTCGTTGCGATTGTCGACGCGCGTCGACGTAGGTGTGACGGAACGTGAAACACGTTGCTCGCAGGGTGATCTTCTAGACGACCAATCGGACGAGGCCGCGTGCGACAAAATCGTCATCTCGCACTGTTTGTTCGGTTTGCATACGTTCGTTGATTTATTCTTGTACGCGCTGTAATTCTCATCGTTGCCGCAATTGAGCTGATTGTTGCGCGTGTTTCTGTGCCGGCATCTCGCCGCATTGTCGATCTTCTCGGCGTTGTTCGCGCCGTGACGAGTCGAATTGTATTGATTGTTTATACGCTCGAGCGAGTTGCGAAAATCCGTTGTTTTCGACGACGTGGAATTCGGTCGTCTTTCCGTCGCCCCGTTGCGCCAAACGGTCTCGTTGTTCGATCCGTAATTCGATCGGAAACTCACGCCGTCGAGTATCGACATCCCGTTCGCGATCTCGTCGTTTTGTTTGAAAGAATTCGGCGCGTTGTATTGTTGCTTCCTCGCCGGATAGGAACTGTATCCGTAATTGAACGCGCGGTAACGTGGATCTCTCGGCGGCGGCTCGGGTGGCCGATTGTTCGTCGCATCGATCGGTCGGCGATCGGTTATGTAATCGGCGCACGGTTCCGAGTGATGCCACGAGTGCTTGGCCGGATACGTGAAGAAGTTACCGAATCCGTAATTATCCGCGCAGGCGGTTTTGCCGGGGCTCCGCGAGATTTTGCCGTAAGTGTTGTTCTGATTCAAATCCGTGACGTACTGTATCCCGGTGGAATATCTTCGAAAATCGCCGTAAATCGTCTCGGAATTCGGCAAACCGGTGCGATTCACATCTCGCAGATTTTCCACGGACGAGATCTGCGTCGGAAAAACCGTGCGATCGTTCGACGAGCCAGCGAAACGGCGCGGATGTACGGGCGGACGACACAGTCCGCCGTTATCGGCAACTCGTTCCTTATCTTCGATGTGCGACTCGGTTAGACACTTTTTGTGCTGCAAGTCGTTCGCAAGTGTGTCGCTGCTGCCGTTAATGTCGTCTCGAGATAAGCGCTTGATGTAACGCTCCGTGCGAGCGGCTCGCGTTTTTCTGTTGTTGCACGCGTTGTTACTTCTCTGGCCGGTTTCCGCCCCGTGAAATCGATTCAGCGAACCGTTGGACCTGCGACAATCCTCGTCGGAGCTGCTGTCGACGCACAAATGGTCTCTCTTCGCCTCGGCGCGCGCTTTCAGTTTGTTTCTTCGATACTTCTTCCCCAAACCGTCCAGCGAACCGTCGCTGCTGCGCGAGTGCAGCGAGTCGCGATACAAATGCGGCGAATCCGCCGAATGACGAACGTTGTTCTCGACTCTCGCACGTTTGTCGTGCTCTGAATTATTCTCCAGCGAGTGCAGAACAACGTCGTCGGATTGTCTGACAAATTTGATGGATTTTTTCGGCAGTTTTTTGTAAACGATCTCCTCGTCGTTGGACGAGCTGTCGTAGTCCCTTATCGACGATATTCGTCGCAGAATTCCCCCAATCGACCATTTCTTGTCCTTCTTCTTGTCCGATGTGCTCGTCACGGCATCGCAAACCGGCAAACGTCTGGTCGGAGGCAAAAGACCGTCCATCCTCAGTACGTCTCTCTTGCGCAGACTCTTTTTCTCCATCGCGAGTATCGGTAACTTTCCGCGATGTCAAGGTATCTGGAAAGAAGAAAATGAGGAAAAAATGTCACGCATGCCGATCTTCATCTATTCTCGTCGGTTAATAATACACAAGTACAATAATAATAATACACGCTCGAGAGTAAAGCGGCAACGTGTTTTGAACTAATATTTTTAGCGCGTGATATAGTTTTAGTGCCAAAAAAAAATCACCGTGTGAATTCTCTCGACTCGAAATAAACGTTAAGTAATTTCGCAGAGAAAGCAAATCGCGAGAAAACATTTTCAACACAAAGAGTAGAAGATAATAACGCGAATGAGAGGTATTGAATATTTCATACGTTCGCGTACATTGTGTGTTTGACGAGTGAGTAGAGCAACGCGTTCACTGAATATATTTGTAAAATTAATTGTGCCACGTGTGTGCTCGTTGCCACTCACGGGAATCATCGTCGACCCGATCGAGCACGCGTTTTTCTCGACGTTCTGTATCCCGCCCCAAGCCTCTCTCTCTCTCTCTCTCTCTCTCTCTGAATCAACAATTTAACGAGAAATTTTTTATTTCGCACTTACACATAGTGAGAGCATGTACGTGTATCTCTTTACTCACTCGGCGTTCTAAGAAAAACGTCGAAACGCGCCTCTCAAACTCGTTCTCGATTATAAATACACGGATGCCCGCCCGCCTCGCTGTGCACTAACCTCCGATGTCGAAATCCGCGACGCGATTCACCTTCCTCCACCTGCCAAGTCGCGAGTAATGAGTCACGAATGCCAGATACCCGATCATTGAAGATGCGAGACAACGCGATGCGGCTGCGAGACGAACGCAGCTCAATAAGAAAGGTCAGTGCACGTCGTCGTTGTTCGACTTCTCGATATCGTCCGACGACGATAACGACGCTATCTCGCGCGCACTCGTTTTCCGGTTCTTGGTTTTTTCCTGTTTCGGTCTTCCTCGCTTTTCTCCAGCGAAACTACGGCAATCTCTCTCTTCTTGACAGCTTGTCGCGCGTAATGACTCTCGTCCGGCTTGTATCGGACTCGCTCCGCTCTCGCTGCTCCAGTTTCACTGATTCGGCAGCTCTCTCAGAGCTCGCGAGGAGGTCCGAGTGACCTCGAAACGCCCATCTTTCTTACACAGACTCGCCGAGAAGGTACACGGTCGACTCTCGCGGCGATCAGACAGCCATTATAAGTGTCGACCGTTGCGCGTATCGTCGTAGTCACACGCCACCGTTTCTAAGTCACGGCGACACTGGTCAAGCAGCTGCTCCGTATCGGACTCGTTACGAGGCGCGAAGAAAGAAACCGACCAGTCACGACGACTACACGTCCTCGAGAACCCCACCCATGTCTCAGGCGCTCGCTCGCTTGCTCGAGGAGCGAGCGAGCGAGCGATCTTTTCCGTGCGAAATCTTTTATGCGTGCACCCACGCGCGCTGCTGCGCGCTCCACGACGCGCAGCTCCGACGCGTACACTATCGTACAATGAATCGTTCCCTCGAGGGAAGAAAGAGCTTATCCCCTTCTCTGAGCGTCGCTTGGAAAGAGGGAACTTCTTTTTTTTCTACCGCGAGAAGGATTCATCGCTCGCCGGTGTACACGCAGCGCGCGCTACACGTTTGACACGTCCCCTTGACGTTCCCTTCTCTCTTCCATTCCGCCAAGTCTCCTGAGTGGAGACTCTCGTCTACTCTTGGATGAGAGATCGGATGTCAATACGATACAGTGTTTTATGCCAAAGAAAATTTGTTTTTACTTAAACGAGAGATTTGATTTTGTTGACAAATCTTGATTCAGCAATCTTTGCTTCCGCGTGCGCTTTATGAAAATTTAATTAAACACATTTTTTTCTATAGTAAAATGTTTTTTTCTCTTTGCAATTACACACATTCGCAATCAATGCGATTGTGTCATAGTCCGATGAGACCGAACGATGATCGGACGAATAGATGATCGGAAGGATCTCGGGACGACGAGAAGAAAAGAAAATGAAAAAGTGAAACAACAACGGTGTGAGTGTTAAGCTTTTTCGTTTATTGAAAATATCTCTGTAAAACGTGTGTATATTGTGGCTGGGCGAGGTAAGCCGACAATACCGAATCTTCGACAACGAAATGAAATTGGGGGGGCGGGGGGGGGAGGGTAGCAAACGAAGAGATACGGTGAAGACATTGAAAACAATATAGTCGATCGATATTTTTTGTTGTTTTTTTAGTTATCTACATAAGTAAAGGACGAATCAACGATGCATTTCGCTTACTTTTTAATCTTATTATTAATTATAGTATGTATAACAAAGCGGTAACAACTTGTTAATTGTTAACTATTACGATAATAATCGTTTTTACTTTATATAATTACAATAATATAATGTGTAAGGATCGTTAACTCATCGATAACAAACGAATCGTATCCTCTCCTCCTTTCTCTTCTCTTCTTTTTTTTTTTTTTAGTTTTTTTCTTTTTATTATATTTCTTCTTCGCGTCCTCGCCGCTCGTCATCTTCGCGTTTTCGCCGCTTTCCGACTCGATCGTTAGCTTAAATCGTTTTGTTTTGGATTGTTTTGTGATTTTTTTTTCTCTTTTTTAAATCCCTCTTTACGCTCATTCCTGTGTATTAATTATTTAACAACAGTTTCTTTATCCCTTTATTATTTGCTCTTTAATTTAATAATCGTAGTAAACATAGTAATTATTTATAATATTGTGCATAAATAACTCATATTTTTCTCTTGTTATTTATTCTGTGTTAAGTAATAATGAATGTCGTATTCTCTCAACGGAGGAGCTTCTCTGTATTCTCGTGTATTTTTTTTGTTTTTTGGTTTTTGTTTTTTTGTTTTGTTTACATCTCCCGTCTGTTGTGCGCGCGCGCGCATTCACGCGCGCGTACGCGTGAACACGCACGCGCGTTCACAAGCACCCGTTTACATCCGCGTGTTCGCACACAAACGCGCGCGAGCGCGCGCGAGCACACACGCGACACACATGCACACACACACACACGTACGCAAGAATTTTTTTTTTTTTTATTTATTGAGATGGACGATCCTTCGCGCATATTTGTTTGTTTAAATGTTTCGACACCTAGCGCGTTTAAAATTGGTTTTTCTTAGCACGTTTCTATCTAACATAACCCATGGCAGTTGCTTTTTTCATTTTTACCGGCCGACAGGCTCCTTAGCTTGACACTGTACAATGCTTTAGCCCAGCTCTAGAATTTTTTGTTCTCATTAGTTTATATTTATATTTCTGTTTTTTTTTATTTTCATTAATATCTTTATTTATTATCTCACGACGTAGGATTAATGATTCGAGAGTATCGAGACACTACAAAGCGTTTTTTTTTTCTGATGCTATTTGTTTAAGAAAAATTTTTCGTGCATTTACGATTAGTTAACTTAATTTTTTCTCTTTATAATGCGTAACGGCAGTATCGTCCTCCGGAAAAAGTACGTTAAACCTCGTCTTACCTCGCTTAACGAAGGAAAGCTCTATTATTATTTTATTTTATTATTATTATTTTTTTTTTTTTTGTTATATCTTACAGCTGTCGTCGCGCAAAAGCTTGGTAGTTTTTTTTTTCTTTAATGTACACTTTGGAAAAAAATTAACGAAAGTCAACGAAGCACACCACGCACACTCTTCCATCCCCCTCCCTCTTCGCGACACTGTGTCGTCCTCGTCGACCACTCTCGGTCGTTGCAACGCGGTATCGATCAAACCGAAAGAGAGCGTCTTTTATTTTATTATTTATGTCGCTTCGCTTTTATTTACGCGAAACTTCCCGTGTGTGTCTCGCGATATCACCGAACGATCCTCAGGCAACCCTCATATGAGACGCACAAATATACATATTGCGGAAATAGAAATATTTTGCGCGAGAGGACGGTGAGAGGTTTCTGTCTTTCTTATCTAAAAAAAGACTGTTACGTAAAGAGATGTTAGAGATTAGCAAGAACATCCGAACGACATCCGTGCGCGATACAAAGCGGAAAAGATGATTGTTTAATGCATACATATGTGTGTATATATATATATTTATATGTATATATAGGTCTCCTTAATTTAATTATCTTATTGTTCAGTAAATAAAATAATTAAATTAATTATTTATATTTATATAGTTTTTAAGCGCGCGAAACATTCTTCAAAAAATTCTTATAAAAGTGTTTGCACTTTTTTTTGACGCGCTTTTTTTCTCGACGATCGCGTTTCTCATCTTGTGTTCTACGCACAAGAGGTGGTGGTTCTCTCTCTCTCGCAGTCCTCTTCCAATCCGATACCGCGGACGAAATGTTAATCGACGCCGATTAAACGCGTTACGCGATCGAGTTTTAATGGGGAAGTCGTGACGGTAAGCGCGCGCGCGCGCGCGCGGCGCGTGTAACATTCCATCCGCCGACGGAGAATCGACGCATCTCGACAAGACTCTCTCTCTTTTTCTCTCTCTCTCTCTCTCTTTCTCTCTCTTTCTCTCTCAAAGCAGATTCATAACAGACAGTCGGCATTTCAAGATCTTTCCAAATAAGTCTTACAAAGTGAATCAACGTACAGCGCGTAAAATCTCTCTCTTTATACAAGACTTTATACACATTGTATATATAATATATATATATATATATATAAATATATCAACAATTAAATTGTGTTCAGCAACGAGCAGAGAAAAATGTCCGTTTTGTTTTTCAATTTCTCACGACTTTATTTATATACGACATCATCTTATAACTACAATTCCGCGTGTGAGATATATTTTCCGCGCGCGGACATACAATACAATTCGCCAACGTTTTCTCCGTCGAGGTTTATTCGCGAATGAATCATTTGTTTATGCGTGACGCGCGATAGGATGTATCGCAGATGATCGAGAAGCGCAAAAATAGAAAATGGCTCTACTGCTGTTTTATTTTTTTTTCTTCTCATCGTTGCTCGCGTGAATCATTTTTTTTTTTTTTTTTTTTTTTTTTTCATCACACTTCGGCTGACTCATTCGAGGCGATCTTGAAAAGCGGACTGTACAAACTCGCCTTTTTAGCGGCGGCGCGTTTCTTCCGTCGCGCGCCTCCAACAAAAGGGGGAAGAACGATGCACATTGTGTTGCATAGCGTCAAGGAGGCGCTTCCGGAGATTGCGCGGCCGCTTGTCCGTCGTCTCTCTCTTTCGTTCTTTCGGCCCGTGTCCCGCACAGATTCACATTGGCGCACCAACGCACAAACGCCTCGATCAATTAAGCGGACAGCTGTATAAAGCTGCGCGCGAGATATATCACGGTCGCCCGCGTCACCGTTGGCGAACGCGTTTTACGTTCCTCACGCACGCAACACGCACGCACACACACACACACACACACGCACACAGGCCGTTCTCGTAAACATTAAATAAAGTTAAACGACGATCGTCCGTCCGCCTTTTTCTATTTCCGTCTCTGCGGAAGGAGACATTTCAAATCTCCGAAGGCAGCGTCTTTTTACGCACGAGTTTTTTCAAAACGTCAATTTGCGTTTGTTTAACCAAATGCGTTCTCTCATCGGCTCGACGTGTGAATCTGTGCGCGACACACAATACTGTTCGTTTTTTTTTTTTGTTTTCTTTTTTATTTTTTTAATTTGTGGCACTCTTTGTCGTTGTACACACGCTCACACACGGTTGCCTACAATCGCCCGACGAATGTGGTATCGAAAATATATGTATATCATTACGATTACAAGCGATTTGATTATTTTTTTGTTTTTTTGTTTTTTTCTTTTTTATCGAATTATGTGCACACACGTTACAACACGGGAGAGGGAAGGCCGAACTGAAGAGGGAGTGGGGAGGGAGTTTCGGAGGTACGGAACAGTGAGCCGGACGGACCATCGGATTTTTATTTTTTCGTATGGTGGTTCGGTATGTGAGAACGATCGCGACGATTTTTTTTTTTTATCTTAGCGGGTAACACACTCGACTTTCTTCGCGCGCGTCATCATCGTCATCTTCGTCGTCGTCGTCGTCGTCGTCGTTGTCCGTCGTGTGGGACGCGGCGATTCCGAGGGACAACGTCGATGATTGCGAAACGGATCGATCGATCGCTCCGAAAGAACCGAGAGAAGGCCGGCGGATATGCGAAAATGCAACGCGCGCGACGTTTCAAGAAAACGAACGAGAGGATGCGCGCAGCTGTTGAAAGAGCTATTTTTACAGAAATGCGCGCTCGATATAAAAACTTTCTTTCACACACCCGTCTCTCCGTGTAACTCACAGAGAGAGCGAAAGCAACGATATATAACAACGATACAATGTACAACTTCAAAGCACGACATATATGTATATATATATTTTTTTTCAAATTCAAGATTAATTATATATTTTTTCTTCTCTACTTCTGCGCAACCTCCTATCGACAAGTTCCCTTCGGACAATTCACTGATTAATATTAACGATATGTG